GTTGCAAATCAATGCATTTAAAATATATTAAAAAAGTTAAATTGAATAATACACTACAATTTCCATGTACTTTAGTATGTTAGTCAACAATCTAAATAAATGCACTTTAAAACATGACAGAAGATTATTAAAACAATGATTTACTTTAAAGTAATACTTTTAATTTGGCATTATTATAAAGCACACTTTTTAAAAGTACTTAAATGTGTTAAGAAACCGTCATGAAAGTGTGTATTTAAGCACACATAATATTAAAAATATTTTTAATATTTAAAATATACTTTTAAGATCTGATGTACACTGCAAGTGCACATTCAATGCAATTAAGCACACATCTTTTTCACATAGGCAGGGATGAAAAGTTTTCTGTCAACAGGACTTTTTTTTTCAGTCAGATTTTTTTCTTCATCAGACAAAGTAAACTGACTGAACAATAAAATATGGCTAATGTCTCCACAGCTGCTACCCAATCCAGTCCAGTGGTAGCACTAACACACTTTGCACACCACACATTTTCAGCAGATGCCGAAACATGTCATGGTTGCAGTTCATAACCCCTTTGAACTTGCAATCGTCGACTGAATCTAAAGGAATTATATGTTTTGTATTGTTTTATATATATATATATATAAATTCAAATATGTAAAAAAGAATAAAAAGGTTCGTTTTTTTAAGCTTATTTTTAAACATATTTTATTTCAATTATTTGTCAAAGAAATATTTCTAAGGACAAAAATTACAAAAACTATAACTGAATAAAAAACAAAACTAATAAAAATGACAAAAACCAACAAAACAAATAAAATTGTAACTAAAAATAAAATGAAAATGGAAAATATAAAAATAAACACTAATTCACAATATTAATAAATTCTACATAAATATATTAGCGATACTAAAATAACACAGCAATGATAGTGATATATAGAATATTCATAATACATTTGTGAGGATTTTGCTGGTGATATAAAAACATTGTGAACATTGCAGTAATTTTAATGCACTTTTTTGTCCATTAAGTTTCCTCAAAATCAAAAGTAAACCCTTGAGAGCATTAGGACAAATCTTACAATTGTTGATTTCCAAGAATCAGCAATTATTCAAAATGTTGATTCACTGGATTGATTCAATGAATCATTTGTGTCACCACAAATGATTCATTGTTCAAAAAAAAAAAGTTCTCAAAACTCATTAAATTTTCAGATGAATTATAAATCATTTTTAAGTACATGCGTACATACAGCCATAAATATATTGAAAATGCATTAAAAGCGTATGTTGAACGCACCATTTTTAATGTTCGTCAACATTAAAGACTATAAAAAACTTATAAAACACCTTTTCCCATATCTTTGAATACACCCCACATATGGTTCCTCATTCCTCTCCACTGGAGTCACGCTTAGTGCTGCTTTAACAGACCCAGTGAAATATTTCAAATAATAAAGGATTATTTTCTCAGACACGCCTAAATGGGTTTATGATATCTTCCCTCATATTTCGTAATAGAGAGTTTATGTAATTAGAAAAATATTGTTCTTGCAATCCAACCCAGAGGCATATCCACAGTTGTTTTCTCAGTTTGTTTTGATCTTCAGTGTGCAGTTAAAAAACCACATCCTCACAGCAGAGAGAGCTACAATCCACCCACACCATCAATTAAAGCACAATGTCACGCTTAAGTGTTAACAGCTTTATAGAAAATTATCTCAAAGATTTTTTTTTTTCGTATAGGGCAACATCCTCCGCTTTGTTTCTATGTTTGTGCAGAAGCGTACGTGAGAAATGCAGATTCTTTCGCATTGAGAAGAGAAGGAGGAGGAGGAGGAAGGGAGTGGGGCTTTCCCAAACCTTTGTGTCTTCCCTTATCCCAGGTCACTGGGGATCCTGGGCAAGGGAAGCAGATAAGATCTGTCATGTTTCTGCATTCATAAAGGCCTGGCAAAGTTACTTTCCTCTCGCCACCCCAAATCAAGCATCAGTGCTGGTTGTCGCTTTATGAGAGAACACCAGGTTATGTGTCACCTGTCTGGCTTCCAATACTACAAATAAAAGAAAGACTGCAATTCATTCACGTGATCTAAACAAGTCTAAGTCTGAAAGAGCCTCAGTTGGGTTTCTTGCCGGACAAGCATAGCTTACACAGTAGTTTTTTAACATTTGCATTGACAGAAGTAAAGAAAGTATATGCCATTTTTGGTCAAATCCAGTACCTTTTCCATTTTTCTACAGATTGTTTTTTCTTATAGTGTACTATAACTTTCCTCACTCAGCATATGAAGAATTCCAATGTTAGACACTAGTGGCTGACTTTATATTTAACAAAGCCCTTATATCATTTTTTGTGCAAGTTAAGCTGGACATCAGGAAAAAAATAAATAATAAAGAAACTTATTATATGACCCATTTAAAGCAATAATGGAAGTTTGATGGAAGTGCAAGGTTACTAGAGAAGCATGAGAAAAGTTCACGGTCAAGTGAGCAGAAGCGTGACCTGCCGAGGATCTCACACTCTGCGAGTGATGTCAGCTCCTAGTATTTCATCTCTCCGTCATGTCCTCTATTGTTTAGCCCCTGCATTTCCATTAATGCTGGGCTTTGGGACTAGATTGGACGCAAGTGGCACGGAAAAGCTTTCGGATGGAAAAAGCCCAAGCCCTGAACTCACATCCTGCTTTTGTTGGGACACTTTTTGTAATGTTGATGATTGTGTAAATATTTGTTCAAAATTTCCTTTGAATTTTTTGAAAAACGTGAGCATCTGCAGCTTTGCAACCAAAGATGGAAGGATGATTCAACAAATAAACAATAGCACCTAACACATTTCCCACCGGTTATTCACACCTTCAAACTACTTACCTTTAATTTCAGATGAAAAAGTGGGGTCCAAACATACAAGACTGCATTGGAATTTTGGGGTTTGGTTTCACCAAAACCAAATTTATTACATAATGATGTCAGTCTTGGTTGAAATATATGAATGATGAACAGTCAATCTGGTCTCCTGGAATGCGTCAGATTGTTTAATGAAAGGCAGCAGAGTAGTTGGCAAACTGTATTTAGACATCTAATGTGTTTCCAGAGCTGTAATAAATCCCATTAAGAATTCCACAGTGATGGTAAATATATTTGTAGTGTTAAATAATGGGTGGTGATCATGGTGTTTCCGTCATGAGTTTGAGAACCTCTGGTCCACCTGAACAAATGCAGTCATGCTCCTGGAATGATCTTTATCAGTTACTGTAGGAACCATTGCTTTGTGCTTATTAGCACGTCAAATAAGCCATTGGCTTTCAAACAATAGGATGCAGTTCACACTGTTCTTGTTGACTTGTTTCACAAAAGTTGCTTAACCCCCTATGGTGTACATAAACATCTCTGGTAATCCCTTTATTTACAACCTACCTATTGTCCAGAGAGGGGCGGTGGGGGGTGCTTTCCCCAAGGGTACAGTCCTAGTATCCAGCGTGAATGTTTACAGCCCCCATTTCTGGTTGTACTTAAATGATTTTGTCTCTGTTTTGTCTTGACAACCAGGTGAACCAAGCCAATCAGTCCAACTCACTGGGCTCTGGGCTGGGGTACCTAGAGCACATCTGCCAACTCATAGAGAAGATCGGACAGCTACAGAAACACAACCTTCGACTACAGAAACAGATCTGTGGCCTGCAGAAGGAAGGCAGAGTGATCAAGACTAAAGAGGTATCAATCACCTGCCAGCATTGTTCTTTATGAGCTTACCTCAAGGGTGTCCAATCCTATTCCTGAGGGCTACTATCCTGCAGAGTTTAGCTCCAGTCTTATTCAAACACACCTGAACCAGCTAATCAAGGTCTTCAGGAGTATTAGAAAATTTTAAGTCAAGTGTGTTTGGGCATGTTACACCTAAACTCTGCAGAGCATTGGCCCTCCAGGAGCAGGTAGCCCTGGCTTACCTGATTCATATACTTGGTCCAGAATAAAAATGTATAGATGAGGTTTTGGAAACACACCGTAATTCTCAATCTGAAATTGATTTAAGGCACTGCTGTAGATCTGGGTCTGAAAGACGATGTCTTGGAATTATGATTTGTTGTGGGTTAAACCCCATATTGACGCCTAGGGCAAGGGATTATTGGTTCATACTGTGTCAGTATAAATCCAGCTGGGTTGAATGGGGTTTAAGGGGTTTTCAAGATGGATAAAAGCGTATTTAACAAATAGTGCTGCTGGGTCCAGCCCTTTTCGACCCGTAAGGGGTATTCGTTTCAAAGAACGTGATGTCTCCTCACATGGATTTCATATGTTTTTATGTCCCATGTTGACATTATTCAGGACAAAAGTCTTTTCCTGTGTCTTTTTTTGATGGGTCATTGAGAGAAGCTCACTCAGGCATGAAATCATTTTGTTTAAACTAAAAATGTTTTAAAATGGTAATCAGAAAGGATTATGTCATTTAGCAGGTATTTACTGCAAAATGGCAAAATGAGAAGGAATTCTGGTAAATCATAAAGTTGTTCAAATTCAATTGAGTTAACAATGTGTAACCCATAAAAATCTGAACTCAGCACTAAGTGTTTGTTTTCCCATCTCAGTACAAGATGGTGCATCTGGCTTGAATGTTATCAGCCCAAAACCACAGGAAAAATATCAACACCTTTTACAATGTTTTGTGAAGTCATGGGTGTTTTTCTAACATGTCGGTCTTTGTTTTTCCCTGTGGATTTGTACCTCTCCAAAATTAGTAACATAGTTCCAAAATGACCAGGAAGGGAACTTGTCTTTGTTGAAAGTGGATACAGACTAGGAAAGTGGAAACCCACTGCAAATGCACCCAAATTTATTTGTAACATTTATTTATTTAGTTAAAGTTAAGTATTATCATATAAATTCAGTATGAAAAAATTGTTCTTTTAAGAAATGCTCAATGAAAGGTTCTTTGGAACCCCAAAATGGTTCTTTATGGCATTACTGCAAAAACTCCTTTTTGGAACCTTTATTTCTTACGTAATTTTTGGAACCTATATTTTATGTAATGTAGCCTCCCCGTTGCCTGTCTTCTACCCCAGTTTTCCCACCGCTCTAGTCCTTTACATACTGACTAAAGGCTGTGACATTATATTGTGTAGACATCTTCCTGACCTCTGGATGCTGTGCTGTTGAATGAGAACAGTTTTGTTCATGGTCATCTCTAAACTGGCTCTGTCAGTTCGGGCCCTGGGGCCGGAAAAGTCTTCCACGGTCACAGTGAGTGAGCTCAGTGGGGGCCTGCACTTCAAAGTCATCAAAGAAAGCAAAAGAGAAAGAGAGGCAAAAGAAAGGATAACATTTTAAAAAGGTTCCAAACATGCTTATATGTTTGCCTTAGATTTAGGTTCTGAATAAGAACTGATTCCATTCATTTAAAATACTGGAAGTGAATGATTCTCCCAACATTCAATTCTATGCAATCATGACAGTAAAGACAATAAATGGACAAGACAACTTTATATTGTGTTGTTCCCACTGGACACACACAGCAAATATACAGCATGACCAGTGTAGAGTGATTCATGAATGAATGACTCTTATGAACCAGATTTTTAAAATGAATTGGTCAAAAAGACTAAAAGATCCAACACAGTCTCACGACAGTGCATTACCATTTTGTTTTGTTCCAGATTCATATGAATTTGTAGGTTTCTGTACCGTCTGCTTTCTACCTCTCGGGGAGCTTCATACAAAGTTTTCATACAAATCATAAATTTTTGTACTTTTAAAATAGCTTTGTTTTCTTATGAGTTCAGGTAGATAAAATCTCGTCAGGCTGATAAAGTCTTAAACTGAATTATCTCTTTGAATCACTCAGTTCATTAAGGAGCCAAAAAAATTAATAAAAAAAGATCAGTGGATCCAGAATGTTGAATCCTTTATTCTTTATAATTCCAAAAACAGAAAAATTGTGAAACACATGAATAGTCTGCAGACCACCCTTCTTGAACTCCCTGGGTCTTAGATTCTATGGGCTGTGTGTGTGTGTCTTTGGAGAAAAAGCAACAGGCAGCAACATGCTGTTACACACATCAAAAGGCAGGGGAACTCCTGAAACGTGCCCCAGTCTCCACTATAATGGACCAAGCTGTCTCACCAGTCTCCTCCCTGGCTGTTTTACCCACCCGCCCCCAAACCCTCACAGCATGCTTTCATCTGTACTCATAAAAAGCATTCAGAACTCAGACAATATGCAATTACCACCATTGTAGTGTCCTCTGTCTCTCTTGTTAGTTCTACACCTGGATCTCCTCCGTTATCAGCCATGACCGATCTGAAGAACTGATATGCTCCATCACAGTACAGCATATTGAAGCATCTGGTGTTTTGGTTTATGGGACATTTAAAGCAAATTCTTTTATCTTCAGTCCATGTGCTTTCTTTTCAAATACATCAAGACTCTTTATGATGCAGAGATACTTTCCAAGGAATTGGTGTTCAGATCTGCTCTGAGTTGCAACAACAACATAAAATCCTCAACAAACATCTGCCATGGCATCATTACCTCATCGGTCAGATAGCGTTTACCATGCAAATACTAATGTGATGGAACTAAGAGGATAATCTTGGATAAACAGAGATTTGGGAAGCGTCTTACCACTCTGACTGACTAGAAACACCGCCATGTTATTTTCAGAGGTTGAGAAATGGATCTTGTGTTTGTTTGTTTGTTTTTTTTCTCTAAAAATAAAAGGCTCTTATGCATTTTAGTACACAGTATTCAAAATATAAGTCATATCTACTACATTTGGTTGGGAGGCAAATGTGTAACAACAATAAGAATAATTGGTGGAAATGACACTAGCAGATTTCAGCTGTTTAGGTGGTCCAAGTGATGATGTGTGATACATGAGGAAAATGCTTAAAATAGTGTCCCAGATAAAGACATTTCCCACTGGAAAAGCAATTCAGGGTCATTTTGATTTTGTCTCATGATTGCAACTGTTGAGAGTTAAATGTTCCCCATAGGAATGAAAAATCACAAGCGAGATGTCTTTATTATTTGAATTGTTTCTTCTAGACAACAATAGAATTAAATAGTGAGCAAATGAAGACCCTTGCTTCTCAATATGAACTCAGCCATTCTCATCAAATTCATTTATGACCAAATTATCTGAGCTGCTATCTGCTTTATAGTTTTTATAGCTCTGTGCATGGAATGTGTGAGGAAGCCATTTTAATCGTATCTCTTTTTTTCTTTCTTATTAGCTATTTTAATGTCTAAATAAAGTATGACTGATATGTTTATACAGTTATACTTTATATCACAGCTAGATGTATTATTTCATGTAAGATAAAGAAAGGATCAGATAACGTGGGATTAGAAATGTACCCTATTTTTCAATAAACATTTATGAAGTAGCAAGGCGTCCCAAAAATATTTAAAAACTAGTGTGAAATAAATTTTATTCAAATAGTTTTTGTCACTGAATGCATGTGTTTGAGGGCTTCAGTAATTTTTCACTTGCATAAATCTGAACCATTTGTCTATTCTATGGGCCAAGTATGTGCTATCATCCTTGACCCATGGGTGTGAATATCCACAAATTGAATTTAGATTTCATAAAGTGAACTATTTTAAGTGTTCTTCTTTCCCAAATGACCACACTTAACTTTTTGGAGCATTTCATCTATACAAAACATAAAGCTTTACAAATCCATGTGTAATTTTACAATGTAGGCCTATCTGTGCATACCTTCATAAAACAGATCAATAATAAAGTGAATAAATAAAATTGCCTCAGTTTTATGAGACAAACTCTCAATTCCAACTCTCTTTTTCAGGACTTTTTTATGCAGCACTGTAGCTGTGGAGCAGCCAACTTGGCCTTCCAAGAGCTCAAGAGACACTTTCGCAGTGACCACTACAGCCTGACGGCATCAAGCAGCACACTGTCTGACCTCAGCACAATCCCTGAGGTCACACGTATCCCCCTCAGGGCAGCCATGAGAGGTCAGTGTGCAAACACACCTGCGGTCATACACTGAGGGCTAAGATTAATGTGTTTACACTGGCTAGACCTACTATTGAAAAAGACTAATGTTTGTAAGGCATGGAGCAGGCTTATCTGTGCCTAAATAGTAATCTGATAACAGAATGAATTATATAAACACATAATTAAACCAGAAAATGAATTCAAGTTCAAGACAAACTTTGAATGTTGGTTTGAAAAAGCCATGCCTGAAAGTTCAAAAATGTTTTCAAGTTGGAAAATTATATAAGACAGACAGACAGACAGACAGACAGACAGATAGATAGATAGATAGATAGATAGATAGATTAACCTCTTGAGTGTCCCCTGTACAAACACGTAGCACTTAGACATGTTTATCCTGGTTGCTTTTCTTCCATCTCATGTTCCATCAGGTAGGTGGGCAACCAAACATTAGTCTCTGGAGAAATGGGAAATGAATATGTTAGCGATAGGTGGAATTTCTGGAATTCCATATAGAGAGAACAAACATATTCCAGGGATTTTTGGTGGGCTGGAAAACAGAGCTAATTTATTTTTTAGTGTGTGCACACACCCTTCAGGGGGTCTAGAGTTTAGTCATAGATCACACATAGTTATTTCCTCATAATAGCATGTTTTCATGATAATCAAACTTTGGATCTTGGACAGAGGGTGACATGGGCTGCCAACCTGCTCTTCCTGTTTGGAGGAGGGGTCTGAATCGGAGGAGCTACACAGAGGGAGAGGCAAAGTACCTGAGTGACAGCGCTGAGGTCCTCTCTGCTCCGCACAGACGGGTGAGTCAGTCAAATATCAACTCACTGACTCAATCTGACAAACACTCATCTTTCAACACTCAGGGGAAGCCAGATTATAGCCAGTGTTTGGTCAAGCCTCTCTCTCTCATGCATCCGTTTACTTATTATATTATTCTAGATTGTGGTAGTTGAGTCAAATGAAAATGAAAATGAAGCTGTCAGGGATGGAAGTAGAGCCTGTTGAAACGGTTAGTCACATTATTATTAATTACTGCTGACAAAACATTCCACTGGACAATGAAACTCCAAACTTTGCATAAATAATAATAATAGAAAATAATAAAAATGCATTGACTAAAGTCCACTGGTATTATGAATGGCTTTCATGTGTATCGCACTATTAGTGGTATACAAACATCAGCTGTGGTTGCCAGAACTTAAAAATATGGTAGCAACATTCAAATTTTACAGATTGAACTTTAATTTACAGTGCATATAAGGTATATATTCATTAACTGGCACAATGTTAATAGACCAAAGTACAAAGTCTGTTTTGTATATATATATATGTAAGGCCTCCGCGAAGTGCATTTAAAATCCTTTAATGCACGGCAAGCCGTTGATTATCCCGCTTATTCCATGGTCATTTGCCAACATTGACAACTTAAAGCTGTTTATGATGTTAGCAGCGCAATATTTAACCGGAAGGGTAAAAAATTACGGTAATTTTCGTCAGTTTAGTCGGTTACGGCTTGTTAGCTCTAGCATTCTGCCCACTTTAAATCAGATACAGAGATTAAATAGTGCGACTACATTTATTTGAATGAATTATAGCATTTATTTGAATGAATTATTGATCGAGAGAGAGATGACAGTTGTGTGTGTGAATTACCTGCATCTGTGCGTCTCTCTCTACAAATAAGGAAGCTGTTTACTTTGATTTTACATCCTTGCTGAGGAAGATAATGTAGCGATCTAGTATCTATGCTATTTTATTAATAAAAGTCGTGGGGCAGCACCGACAATAAGTTTCTGTGTGTGCACAGCGTGATCTGCAATCTCCGGCCTCTCTCCCTCTCACTGTGTTTCTGTGCGAGTGCCACGTAAGTGTGTGTGTGTGCATCAATTAAAGCAGCGCACATTAAAGGGATAGTTCACCCAAAAATGAAAATTTGATGTTTATCTGCTTACCCCCAGGGCATCCAAGATGTAGGTGACTTTGTTTCTTCAGTAGAACACAAACGAATATTCAGCTACTGTTTTGTTATTAGTTTAAGTATTTGCTATTGACTGTTCAAATGCGGAGTTTTGCACATCGTGTGTGTGTGTGTGTGTGTGTGTGTGTGCGCGCGAGTTTTGACAGAGTAACTTTGTGTGTCGCAGTTGAGTGAGAACTATACATGGGGAAGAGTGAAGGAACTGGTGAAGAAGACCAAACTGAGGAACCAGAGCCGGCTGGGACTGTCTTCAGGCTCCCTGAAGAGATCATGTCCACAGCTTTACCGGTACTCCATCCATCTTTTCATAATCATTCAGGAGTTTCAGATCATTAGCACTCAAAACAACAGTCAGATTTGATCTTCCTCTGAAGGCTCACTGAATGTTATTTTATAAATAAGTAGAATATTTATTTATTATTTTTAAAAGTCAAATCGACATATTATTTCACAGACGATTAGTTTCGATATTAAAAATGAATCAGAATGGAAATGTTTTGAAGCTTCAGCACACTGCCCTAGAGTTGTGTTGTTCCCATGGGAGCACTATACAGTAACTTCTGGGAAGCCATATCACTAACACAAGTACTACTAATGGCTTCGTTCTTTTGATGTTATGACCCACTATGTGTCCATGTGATGCAAGATAAGACTCTCATCACAACCGCACGCTGTAACGCTAAACTGCTGGGCGTCCTAATCTCGCCTGTGCGCTGCCTCCTCTTAAATACCTCAGCACTGGGCTCATGTGGTTGTCGGTGACTAGCACCGCATTGTATGAATGAGCAGAAAGCAGAACACCGATTAGGTATTGGATCTCATTCAGTCCAATATAATTTTAGGATTTTTCATATACTATTAGTATTTATTAATTTTGGAATATTTTATTTTATATATATATTATATATTTTAGTTTAAGTTTTAGTAATTAGTAATTTTGTTATGTTCTTTTATCATTTTTATTACCCCCCCCATTAGCTTTAATGTATTGGTAACACTTTACAATATGGTGTCATTTTGTTAAACATTAATTAACTATGTTAGTTAAAAAGAACTAACAATAAACAATACTTCTACAGCATTTATTAATTGTAGCTAATGTTCATCTCAGCATTTACTAATACATTTTTTAAGATCAAAAGTTTTATGTTAACATTAGTTAATGCACTATGAACATGAACATTATTATTAACTGACATTAATAAAGGTTAATAACTGCTGCATATCATTTTGCTCAATGTTAGTTAATGCATTAACACATTTTTAGTTTGTTATCTTCTTTTATCATTTTTATTGCCCCCCCCATTAGCTTTAATGTATTGGTAACACTTTACAATATGGTGTCATTTTGTTAAACATTAATTAACTACGTTAGTTAAAAAGAACTAACAATAAACAATACTTCTACAGCATTTATTAATTGTAGCTAATGTTCATCTCAGCATTTACTAATACATTTTTTAAGATCAAAAGTTTTATGTTAACATTAGTTAATGCACTATGAACATGAACATTATTATTAACTGACATTAATAAAGGTTAATAACTGCTGCATATCATTTTGCTCAATGTTAGTTAATGCATTAACACATTTTTAGCAAATTAGCCATTATTGTAAAATATTGCCAGTTTATTTTTTTTTTTCAGTTTTAGTTTTAGTCATTTTACTACTTCAACTTATTTTATTCCATTTAGTTGGCAAGACAACATTTCTAATTTACGTTTAATTGTTTAAACTGAATTTTAAGTAACGTAAATGAATTTTTATAGTTCTAGTTAATAACAACAAAATAAGAAAGCCCATATCATGGGTTTTGTGGACGTCACTACTTGATGTTAGAACAGCTATACTACACTTTTTCACAGTACATCAGTTTATACTATGACACTGTTCAGTTGTTTATTCTGTTTGGTTGAAAAGGCTAGAAAGGGCTAGAGACTAGTTCCAGGTTTGCTGAGTGAACTGCAACATCAGCTCCACATTCTTTCTGAACTAATAACAGATACTTCATCTGTGAGATAGGGAAGAGCATTTTAGGGACAGACTCTTGAAAAATGTCTTTTCTCTCAATAAAAAACAACTTGAACCTCAACCTGTTCTACCAGTGAGCTGTGATCCTACACACATGTTGGCACAGACTCAGATGAATAGTTCAGGGCTGCAGTGTCAGGTCGGAGGTATGCTGGTGGGAGTAAGCGAATTCCCCATGTATTTCACTCATTAGATGAGATATGGGAGCTATGCTGAACGCGCTCTCCTCCTGAGAGCAGATCTTTTCTGAAGAATATATCCATACGGATCGGTGATTCATACAATATGCTGAACTTTAAGAGACAGTATTTGCTCCGTGTCTCTGTTTTCTTATACCGTAATAATCAGCTTGTTACGTAAGTGCAGTGCAATTTGAAAAATTACGTCACACTGTCTTCCATTAGTTCAGCCAAACTTAATGGGGCATTAACATTCTCATTGGTGATATCTGGAAAAGGTTATGTAATACATGTTTAACTTTTTTTTTTAAAGTAGTGCCCCAATATTTAGCATGATACAGAAAGCATGCTTGAAATCCACACCTAAATTACACTATACATTTGTTCACTGCTACTAAGATTGCTAAAATGGTGTCTGTCTTCCTCACAGCCCAGATTTGATGTCAGCAGAACGGCCCAGGACAAACAGAAACTCCATGATCGCTCTGGGCCATCAGAAACTGGACTATCTGTGGCCACAGTAGTATTAAACAGGTAGGCCGAAAAATACATCTTCTGCCACTTCCTAGTGCATTAACTATAGAAATGAAGACTTATATTTGAATAATTGCATGCTTGACTAGTTAAGTAAATGAACCAAAAATATCCTGAATGCACTGCAAAAGTCACTTTTGTAAGATGCCAGCAGCAAATTTAGAGAAAAGTGATATCATGTACATTTCATTAAAATTTTAATGGCAATTATTAAAAAAAATTATGATTTAACCTAAGGAATATTTCACCCAAAAATGAAAATTCTGAATTTTCCTACCCGCCTGGCATTCCAAACCCATAAGACTATACCATCTTCAGAACACAAATGAAGATATTTTTTAAATTCTGTCATAATTTTTGTCCACTTTTGAAGGCCATGCATCAGAAAGTACAAAAAGAGATGGTAAAAGTAATCCATATAAATCAAGCAGTGTAATCCAAGTCTTCTGAGGTTAGACAATCGCTTTATATTATGAACAGATGTAAATTAGGCTTTTATTCACATATAAACATTGATCTATGCACATATAAGAGCACATCAAATATGGTAAACAGAAGCTCAAGGGTGTTTGCTTGGCGCGTGAGAACAAACCTAAATGGTTTGATGAGAGAATATTAAAAACATTTTGATTTGTGTTCCGAAGATGAACAAAAGTCTTATTAATAATGACAGAATTTGAAAATTCCCACCAGTAGTCCAAAGAATTTCTGAGATATAGCATCGTTCCCTGTTTGTAGATGGCATTGTTGACTTTAATGATCTGCTACTGAAAAAAAAAATAAGTTGGATAATTCTTTAGATACTGGTTTTTGACTTGGTCAGAAGAGTTTCCTCTTTTGTAGTGATTAAAGAGTAGTGATTAAAAGTTACCAAAAGGAACCTAAAGATCCAAGTTGGAACCCCCTAAGCTGCTCAAGGTGCTATTCAGACACCTTTAATCGGTGAGCCAAATTTCATAACGTCTTACCATATAGGGTTATATATGGGTCGTCATTGACTCCAATGGAAGGATATGAAGAGGTCAGAACAGAAACGATATAAAACAGAAACAACAAAGCATTCAGTGCTTGGTCCCCACTGATGTCCAGGGTTTGTGTTCCAGGTCAGTTGTTATTTTAGCACTGTTTGGACAGTATGGCTCTATCTCTCAGCAGTGTTGTTTCAGTACAACTGATATCATGCACACAGTGAATGAGCAGTATGTTAACTCTTTCGGCTTTTGTTTTCTCATCAGACATTGAGTAGATGGACTGCGATGGGGCAGCTTTTCCAAAAAGCAAAGGACAAAGTGGTGGTTTTTGCAATTTGCAGATGGTTTTTCCAGACTGAGGAACAAGATGGGAGAGAAATTCACAATAAAACAATGAACGGGATTTGAATAACGATAGAAAAAAGTTGGTGTCATGTGTATATAATACTAAGAGAGATGTTTATATGTTGATGAAAGTGTTAAGTTGACCTGTTGATGGAGCTTGTTTGTGTGTCATGACATTCCTATAAATGTCATTAATTCAGATAAAGCACTCATTAGATTTGTCAGCTAATGAGGTACTATTAAAGACGATATATACATGGAAAAATGATTTACAGAATGTGATCAGACAAAGGGAATTACAGTAAATCCTTATGTATAGTCTAATGTAAATTTCTGCCAGGACAATTTACCAGACACTGTCCTATTTGTAAAATACTTGAAATACATCCAAATGATAACAAATGTTGAACATGCATGCTGTAACTTTATATAGATCATTTTGTACCACTATTATAAGAACTGCCATGTGTAAGTGTGTATATACAGACAGAACAAATATGCATGTATCCATGAAGCATGGATCGTATGTGCATATGAGAGTGTATAAGAGGCGCTCCCACGTCTGAATTCCTCTATCTACAGACATATATATCACTGTGATGATGGGGCTTATGATAACATGTAAATGACTTATGGCAGTTCTGTTCGCAGCTCACCTGTCTGATGTTATATAATGTGTGTGACCTTTCTTTTCCCTAAAAGTTAAGCAATGCCCAGAGTGTGAACCTGAAATATCATCCTTAAATATGAATTAAAAAATGTCCTACGTGCCTGCCAAATATCAGCCCAAAGTCATAAACGCTGTTATGAATAAAAGGCAGTATAAAATGGTCATAACACTTTACTAAACTTATAAGTGGACCTCAGGGAGAACGCGCAAATAAAAAAAAAAGTTATGAATTGACCCTTTTGAATTAATAAGGTGTTTAATTCAGGCTATTACTAATAAACACTACAGTTAATCCACAGTGAAAACAGTCAGATCTCCTGGACAACATTAAGTTAAGCTCAGAAAGTGAGCACCGTGGCATTTGTCAAGTGTTTAACTGTCTTTGTTGACAGCTGAGTGAGTGAGGTACTAAAATACTGATGTCTAGATAAAGTCTGTTTTTGCAGACCACTTGCAGCCTTCCGTGTGAAAGATGGAACATCAGTTTTCTAATTAAACTTCTGTAACACAATATTGTTCTGGCCAGGAAAGTGTATTAAAACACAAAGTAGCTTCCAGCACTGTCTTTTGATGTACGCTTGACTTATCGTTTCATAGTCACTGTACTGAGTAATGGCGTTAAACCGTGTGTAAAAATGAATGAGAGCTGAAGTATGGCAGATTTTTTTGTCTGTTAGGGACAGAAGACAAGACAAAGAGATTTTGCACTTATCTTGTGCTGTAATGGACCAAATGGACGGAATAATTCAATATGCATATTGCATTGTTATTCAAATGTATTTTTAATAAATATGATATTTCTAAATAACATCGGATGGTTTGAATGTGTCTTTCATCATGTACTGATTCATGAACTGTTCTCCCAAGAAACTGAAATGTAGTTTTTCCTTCCCATTAGTTTTGCTAGTGATCGCAAAGTTTCTCGGGGGGACGCAATACTTTTGCAAGAGAACTCAAAAGCATTGAAATATGATTTTTCCTTCCATCTCAGTATTTTTTTTAATCACCATGTTCCCTCGGGGGCTCCATAGATTTTGAACTAAAAAAGGTAATATTTTGTCAAATTCATGTCGAGATACAATTCACAAAAGATAAAAATGTAAATCGACTTACAGCATAATGTAAGGACACCTTTCAGTGCATGATAGTTAATATTTAGTCTATAGGATAAGTATCTAAAGGATCAAGTGAGAAAACATGAGTCCAGGTCACGAGGTCATTGGGAGTTGACAGAATGACAGAAAATATATATGCATTACCCTCAGCATGAAGTATCTCAGGTTTCTCTCACTTAACACAGAGTTCAAGAAGTTGCTGCACAAACAGAACAGCTTTAAATAAATGGTTTACATGTGATTATAAATGTGAACAATAGATGTACATTTTTAGCACATGTGGGACTTAAGGAGTCATAGACTTTATAGGTGTACTCCAAACTCATAAAATGTATTATAAAATCTAATGAGGTCATTGGGAGTTGACAGAATGACAGCAAATATAAGCATTACCCTCAGCATGAAGTATATCAGGTTTCTCTCACTTAACACAGAGTTCAAGAAGTTGCTGCACAAACAGAACAGCTTTAAATAAATGGTTTACATGTGATTATAAATGTGAACAATAGATGTACATTTTTAGCACATGTGGGACTTAAGGAGTCATAGACTTTATAGGTGTACTCCAAACTCATAAAATGTATTATAAAATCTAAACACTTGAGAGTCAAGCTGTTTATCAGCATGGCAAAGCTGAGCACACTTGATATCAGTGCCTCTGCCTGCTAGGCAACGGTAATGCATGAGCTAGACCATATTACTAATGCCACGTTTTCATAACCCTACGTTTTTAATTTCTAACCAGGGATAGAACAAATTGCAGTAACAATAGTATGATAGCACATTTAATTGAATTATTAACAGAAGTACAGATGTCTATGGAGCATTCTATGCGAGCTGAGTGGCTTGTTGAACACTGGAGAAATATGAACTCGTTTTATACCCTCAGAGGATCAGGAGGGCCGGTGTACTGTAGCTACACACATTCCAGCAACTCCAACACAATGGAGTCATAAAATATGTCATAGAGGCCCACCCTCTGCTTCTACAGATACCACAGGCCAGAAACAGACCAACAACTCTGTGAAATATATATAGTTGGATGTGTGCCAGTGATTGATGATTTACAGGAACACTCCAGTGCTCCAGTGAGACAACACCAGCATATGCGTTCATTTTTTTGAGTGTATTTCTTAATACAGAGCACATTTGTACATTTAAAATATATTAACTTGAAATGTAATATTGAATAATACATAAAAATACATGCACTTCTTTAAAGCATGACAAAAGTTGACAGAAAGTATGACAAAAGAGCATGCCAAAAAACATGATTTAAAATGTACTTAAAAGTAAAACTTTTAATTTGACAAAGCGCACTTTAAAAAGTGTACTTAAGTGTGGTAAGAAACAGTGATGAAAGTGTACTTTAAGTACTCCAAAAGAAAGTCCAAAAGTAAGTCCAATCCCGTACAAACATGTTTGTGGATTTTGATATGAGACAACAACAGGGGAGGGACTTTTTCACTGCGTTATTATGGATTATGGACGCGTATTTTGGCCAGAAGCGGTTTTAAGTTAAAACACCTTAATAATGGATTTGTTTCTCATAAACACGGAGCTTTTTACATCACAAGACGATAACTGATGGACTGGAGTCTTGTGGAATATTGTGATGTTTTTATCAGCTGTTTGGACTCTCATTCTGACGGCACCCATTCATTGCAGAGGATCCATTGGTGAGCAAGTTGCTGTTCCCATGAACAAACAAAATCATCTACATGTTGGATGGTGTCAGTCTTGTGTTCCTGTGCCTTGTGTTTCCCTCCCTCTTATGCCCATTTTTGGTCTTCCTGTTCCTGTCCTCATTATGTTTATTTGGTTCCAGCTCTGTCTGATTAATTATATCATTTGCCCCTAGCATTTAAACCCTGTGTTTCCCTGAGTCTGTGTCAGCTGTTACAGTATATGTCTTCCTTGAGTTCCTGTGATTACCCCGTTGCTTGTGCCATTAAATTCCATGTTGAAGTATTCTCCTGTGTCTCCTCGTTCCTTCCTCCCAGTGAAACGTGACAGATGGTCTGAGGGTGAGTACATTTTCTTTTTTTTGTTTTTTAGAAAGTCAATTTTTGGATGAACTATTTATTTAATATTTTATTAAATCTAGTCATAATTGTGGTGCCTTATGAAATGCTTAAAAGTAATACAATTAATTATCATAATCACACTATCTAAATGCCATAATGTAATTTGTAACACCATAATTATCAGATTAGATTTGCCGATTCAAATATAGAGAAAAAAAAAAATGAAAATGTTCACACTATAAAATTAAACCCATAACACTGCAGTCAAATTTCCTTTTAGTGCTTTAAAGGAGGTGGATGTTTGCCCATCCAGGGCACACGGCACAGCTTTTCATATATGTCCTGAGAATCCATTCCTCCTGTGCAGGAGATTGTGATTCACTAATTGAGCAGAACTGAGTCACATACTGTGATTAATACACTACTGATTGGCAGAATGCTAGAAAGAGGACCTACTTGATGCATTGCTATGACAACAGCTCACCCCTGCCTCTTGGCATTTCCTCAAGGATGGCTGGCCAGTTGGATGAGTTCTCCACAAATGTCACAAGCATCTCCCACTTCAGGCCATCACTGTCCTGAAACTCACACACACCGGCGAACCAGCGGCAGGCTTCTTTGGCATTTCATAGAAGGAGCAGTTAAGGTTTTTCTCTGTAGCAGCCAGCCCTGGCATACACGCAGAGTATGTGTTGAACACCTGAATGTGTTGAGTAAAAGCATCTCCCACTTCAGGCCATCACTGTCCTGAAACTCACACACACCGGCTGAGAACCAGCAGCAGGCTTCTTTGGCATTTCATAGAAGGAGCAGTTAAGGTTTTTCTCTGTAGCAGCCAGCCCTGGCATACACGCAGAGAATGTGTTGAACTCCTCAATGTGTTGAGTAAACTCCTCATTATGTAATGGGGTCAATTGTATGACATTTATTTGTCTGCATAACCGTATTTATTAAGAAAAGAAACATTATGCAATTCAAATAGACCGTAACATAAACGTGCCTCATCTTTTATTATAAGCATGTTTTCAATTTTCGGAAGTCATTGAGTTTTTTTTTTTTTTTTTTTTTTTTTAATTTTTTTTTTTACTGCATTACTTCCTGATCTACAGACGTGATCTACATTCCTATTGTTTTTTTAATGCCATTATTTTGGTTAAAAAATATTATTAATATTTATTATTAGGTTGTTATTATTAATATATTCCCATAAAATCTAAATGAAATGTATATCCAACATGCAGGAAGCCATTTTGTTGGCATTTAAAAACAGAAAAAACTAAACCAAAACGCACAGGAAATTGTATCACAGACAGGATCCCAACTGTGTGTTGTAGACACAGTTAGCCAAATAACAAAAAAATAACCATGGTTCTATTGTAGTAAAACTGTAGTTGCCTTTTTTTTTTTTTTTTGGCATATTGATTACCATTTGTGTAACCATAATATGGTTAGTGTTTAACTATAGTAACCATGTTGTGTTTTTTTTTTAATATATTTTTTTTGGTTTTATTTGCAGTAAAACCATGGTTAATTTTCGTAAGGGTATGTTAACATACTAAGGTTAAGGTATAATGAGGTTAATATGCTTCAGAAGTATTTGCCATATTGTATTTGTTCATGTTAGGTAGGGAACTAATGTTAACAAATGAAACCTTATTGTAAAGTGTTACCGGAGTGTTTAAGGTTTATACTCATTACATTTTACAATCCGACTATAGTAAATGCAAGGGTAATTTTGCAAAATGTGATGTTTTATGTAAACTTTCTGTATAACTTTTTTTTCTTTTTTCTGATAGCATAGTTTTGTAAATAAATTTTACTCATGCCAACTTGATCAAGTGAGTTTTTTAAATGGACTTTAAAATTGCATTCATCATAGTAAGACGTTTATAGATTTGTTAAGTAGTGTTATTTATGTATTACTCCAATCTACATAAAAGTAAACGTTTTTGCTGCGTATCAATTTTAAACGAAAGGTTATTGAAGAGTAAAGTAGATAATAAGAATGAAACCGGGCCACGTCTGGCGTGTTGTGCACATTAGTGACGGGCCGAATCCGGCTTGAATCCGGCTGCCGCATCTGGAATAGAGCACAAGTCATATGAACCCTTTTTATTATACTTTTATGATGATTTTCGTGTTTTTTTTTTTAAGCCGAAATTCAGTTCCAATTAATTTCAGTATAACAGAAGAAAGCCAACAGCACACTTTGCAC